GAAAAATAAAAAAATGATTAAATATAACAGCACTAGCATCCACGACAGAAAAACTGGTTTAATGAAGCTTATACAGTCACATTGATGTGCTCATAAAAGCGCTGAACGTTCCACACAGCAGTTCCGAACGATAATTAAAACTAATAGAGCCGTGCGATTTTATTACACGTCATTACGTTCAACTTTTTTGTTTACATAATTTTATTGTTTCCACGTGGTTTCATTCTGGTTTATATTTCCATTGTGCTATGATAACAATTGGTTCTTATATAGTTACGTTTTAATTTGTCGCTTTTTTATTTTTATAAACATTTTTATCGTCATCATCGTCGCAATCATCATCGTCACCATCGTCATCATTGTTTAAAGAACGTTGATTGAAACCGGAAAAGGAAAAGACAAAAACCATGTTCAATGTTGTTGTGCTGTACTGCGCGCGTGTGTTGTGGTTCGTTCTATATACCATGATGTGTCGTTGATGTGTGCATGCATGTTGTTGTGATATGCTGTGCAAGTGCATGCATTCTGTCTTGCGGAGGCGTGTTGCTTAGAGTTATGCATTTTGTGTACTATTTGTTAGAGTCGTCGGTAAATATTTGGCAATCAACAAAACTCTCAACTAATTTGTCTTTGCTTAATTTTTAGTGATAAAAAAAATAAATTATTCAATTAGATAAAAAAGATGGAGATGGAAAGTGGAATAAAAATAGAAACATGGGAAAAAATGGAAAAGAGTAAGAAAGAAGGGGAGAGACGTAGAGGAGGCAAGGGAGTGGAAAAGGGAGAAAGTGGTTGTGAAGCAAACATTTCATCCGTCCGTCAGTTGCACTCCATCCAACGTAATCTTCTTATGATAAAAATTGCTACACTCTTAACAAAAGACAAAATAAAATGTTCAATTGTTGTAGAGAAAATTTTTAAATTTTTGTTATTTAAGTAAATTTTTGTAAAATTTCAATTCAATTATCTCTTACCTACTTCATTTCAACTCTACCCCACTTCCGTGATGTTGTGCTTGTTATCAAAATTTTTTCTAAAAGTATTATACTAAAAATTACATACGGCATACATAATTTTATGTCAATTCAGAGCAGAAAAGTTAAAATAATCTATGATGAAATTTCACAAAGCATTGACTAACTATCAATGTAAATTTTAACAGTAAGTAAGTTAAAGGTGAACGTGGTTATCATATAATGTTGTCACCTACATAGGTGTATGTATGTGTATTGTATATATATATATATGTATATATATATATATACATCATTTTTATATGATCATTAAACATCGTCATTATCGATGCATCACCAATACCATCATCATCAATATGATAATGCAGAATTGAAGAGAGAGAACCACACAACAGGACATACGTTGAAAGGAAGAATGTGTCTGGAAGAAATACCATTGGGCGTTTCTCTGTCAGCCACATGGAGGGAGGAATGAATTGCTGGATTGATGGATAGATAAATAAAATGATAAAATGACGTATGAATGAGTGAACGAATGAATGAATGAACGAATGAATGAATGAACGAACGAATGAATGAATGAATGAATGAATGAATGTATGAATGAATGAATGAGTCAGTGAATGAGTGGTGAATGAATGAACGAGTGAATGCGTCAATTTGTCGCTACAGTAAATTTGAGAGAGCTTATTCAGACGAACAACTAATGTATAAACGACGATGATGATAAAATTTGGTTTATGCCTCTTGATTTTACGACGAAAAAAATACGAGTGTATACTTTTTTTTAACAACGCATCTTTATCATCGTTTGTTTACTTTAACAAATTTGTGATGCTCGCATTTTATCTGCGTGAAATATAACTTGTATGTTTATAGTATGCAAGTTGTCTGTTGAGATGAATTGAATTTAGGAAAAGTTCTGTGATGTGTGTGCTTGTGAGGGAGGTGACAATCCTAGGAGACATAATGCATATGCATTTATAATTTGTACTGTATGTGTGTACAATGTACATGTCAGTCAGCTGCAAGCAGGAGTGATGTGTGTCTCTGTGTGTGTCTGTGTGTTTGTTTGCGTTGCGTAACGTCTGTTTATCTGTGTCCGTTGCTACAGCTATCATTAATGAATTGTGAATATTTTTCAATATTTTTATAAATATTTTCAAAACGCACGCTGTGACAATACAATGACCATCACAGACATTAATTACTTCTTACGTTTCAGATGGGTTGAGCATCTATCACTCTACCATTGAGTATTTACTTTCGTAGTATTTATTATAACTTCAACAACGGTAAAAAATTTTAAAAAGACCTGTCATGTAACATTAGAGCAAAAAACATCAACAATTGATAAAAATCATCATTTATATATTAAATATCAAAGAGTAATAAAAATCAATGTAATAATTTAAAATGGCAGTTGCGATAAAATAAATAAATTGGAATCAAACAGTTTACTACTATCATTATATGGACAAACCTTCTGTTAAAACAAGTCACGTAATGATGACAGTTTGTTTAGGTATTGTACAAAAACACGAAAAAGACGAAAAAAAATAAACATAACTTTCTAGCCATACAAATACATTGATCTGTATCACAATTTGTACAACAATGACAACATAAACAACAACAAATAGACCGGTAATTAAGCCTGGCCGATTAATTGAAAACGTTGAAGCCGCAAATATTTCAACGATGCCGTGTTTTAACACATTGAAGTAGTAATTAAAGAATTAATCAAAACAACAAGAAAAAGAAAAAACCAGTGATCGAAAATAAGCAGCAGCAACAGACTAACAAATAAATCAATCTGGCGGTGATGATTAAAAGAGCGCTAAACCCACATGATCGCCTGCAAATCTCGCACACTTCAATAAAAAGTCTCGAGGGATGGAGTTCATGAAAGGAATCCCATCCGCGCCAACAACGACGTCTTGCTTGCGTTTTTATTACATTTATTCCTTGTTTTGTTTGTCCCGGTAGGCTTTTTATTGCAATTTATAGGGCGCGCAATTTGAAATTAAACTTAAGCTGTGCAAGATGTTCGTGTTTTCTATTGAGAGGTTCGTGGAAAAATTCGATATAAAGAGATGAAAGCTTGCGTCGGATCATGTGCATCTCAAAAATCTTAAATAGACATTTATGGAGTGGTTAACTAAATAGGAAAATTGCAATAAAGTGATAAAATTAATAAATGGCGTTTAATTGCAATCGCAAGAGAGAGTTTTTTGTTTTCAGGTTTTATTGTGCAAAGAAACACGCACATCAATAAATTTGAGTTAGCACGCATGTACACATTCGACGAAAGCTATGACGCAAATCACAATCACACACGTAAACACACATATACACATACGTAAACTCAAATGTCACACACAGGACAATGAACAGCAGCAGGAGTTGGAGAAGCGGCTGGAAAAGCGGCACGCAGGCAAAGGAGGGAGGGAGCATGTAGTACACCTCATTTAACAAATCTCGACTATATGAAAGACTTTTATTGTCTCCATCGCCACTTTTATTGAATGAATAAATATCAATTTCAATTAACGTTCATGTCTCTTATGTCGACGATGTCTTGTTTCATGTTGCGGCTGATGTGGCTGCTTCTGCTGTTGTTGTTGTTTGTTTCAATCTCATTCTTTGTATTTTGATTCATTGCTTAAATTTTCAAAGTCGTTGTTGGTTTTAGTTGCTGATTTTTAGTGACATGACTGTTGTTGATGTTTTGATACTGTTTATACTGTTATGTTGTTAACGTTTTATTGTTGTTTTTTATGTCAGGTTGTTTTGCAATAGTTTTTTTGTTATTGTCTCACCTAACAAATTTCTTTGGTCAACTCAAAGTTAATGTTGTTGTTGCTTCAATAGGTTGAAAACATTGCTTATGTTTAGAATAATTTTGCGAATACTTTAACCATTTGTTGCCAGATTTGTTAACGTAACAAAAATTCAACAAAGCCTATTATTACAATTTTTTAATTAATTAATTAATTTATTAATTTTAAAAGCGTTCTGAATGTCACGTACTGGCAAATGTTCGTCACAACGTTTCCCAACAACATTTTTTCACATGTCTTTCACTAGTGATGGTTTTCCTAATCTGCCCGAGCGAGCGCTTGAACCGAGACTCCGTGCAATATATATATATATATATATATATATATATATATATATATATATATATATATATATATAATATATATATATATATATATAAATCTATTTTTAAATTTAAATAGTAAAGCAGTTTTACTAGTTGAAGCTAACTTTCCAAGCATGTTACCAGAAATAGGAGTTCGTTTAGTGATCATGATGGGATGATGGGACTAATAAAAAGAACGGCAGAATGAATGAATGAATGAATGAATGAATGAATGAATGAATGAATAAATGGATGAATGAATGAATGAATGAACGAACGAACGAACGAACAAACGAATGAATAGAGAAACATAGTAACAAAAAAAAGGACCATAGATAAAACAAATATTTCCATAATAAGATGTTTCTGTTGTTATTTGATGACAGTTTCAAGGGTTATGATGATGACGACGGCGACCTTGTTTGAATGAAATAGCTGGCAAGGCTGGAATGGGAGCAGAGATATAAAAGACATAAAAGACAGGAGATGCGCCTCACACGAATAATCGATGTCTCGTCAATTATATTTCGGACCGGATGTTGCTGGTTCATCTCCGCGTTACTATAACCGCCTGTTACAATATTGCTTTCTTTTTTAAATTTTATTTATGTCAATACGATTTTTTCCTACAAAATTTAGTTTGTTTACCGATAGTCTGTTTTTTTGCCATTTCGATTTATTATGTATCTTTTATAAAGTTTCATTACTGAAACATGCGAGGGATGAAACAGAGGTGTTAACATTTCAACCTACTCTATCCGTTGTCTGCTTATACATTTTTCAAAAATCATTCAAAATGATTGTTATCAAATACTGTAGTCACTTACGTCTTCGTCGTCTTCAAAGATACTTAATATTGATCTTTCACTAGTGGCCTTTCATGGTTCTTCGTGGAACCATTCAAACGAGATTCGATTTTCTAACTCTACATTTGAGTTTTTGAGTCACAGGTTAATATAGTTTAATTTATCTCCATGTTATCTTAGCTAAACCATCAGGTTTTATCTTTAACATGTTGTACTTTCTTACAATAGCGATATTCAAGTCGGTTGAATTTGGCGTAGAAATAATTTTTGCTGACAAAAAATAATGCACGGAAAAAAGTTGGAAAGTGCAGTCTAGAGTTTTAATAAGATACCAACTTGTTTTGCTGAACTTCACTAGCATATAAAAATGTTCCTTCTTGTTTTAATTAAACTGAAAAAATTATTTAATATATATATATATATATATATATATATATATATATATATATCATAATATTCTTGCAAGCAACGTAATTTCTAATTTGACAATTCAATGTTTTTGAAACTTAAAAAAAATGATTATTATTTTGCAGTTTACCGGCGTTTTAATTTAAATTTTAATTTAAATAACAAAATAATTATAAGGTTCACCGATTACTTTACACTAAACAATAAATAACAGGGGTAAATTATTGAATTGTTGAAATGCTAAACAAACAAAACAACATAAAAGAAAAAAGTTTATGCAAAAGGTTTGAACAGTTCGACAAATATCACCAACAAAATTGAAAACAATGGCGCAACAGCAAAATATATCGCTCAGTAGAGGAAGCAAGAAGAAGAAGAAGAAGAAGAAGAAGAAGAAGAGCAGACCAACCTTGCACGTGCATTGAGACTTTGCTGCTAATGAAGCTGATACCTGTATCTCGATATGTGGCATTGCAATAGAACACGCCGTGTTGAACGCCATCGTTGATCTTTTCATTTTTTTTGTTGTTGCTGCCGTTCTTTAGCCTGCCAGTGTTGTTGTTGATGTTGTTGTGGTTGTTTTTGTTGTTGCTGCTACGGTTGCTAATTTTATTGTTGTTGTAGCTGATAAGATTGTTGATTTTATACTTTACTTCGTTACTGGCGACGTTAATTAAATGATTGTTTCGGGTAGCATTGTTTTTGTTGCCTTCACTGATAGCATCAGCAATTTTTATCTCGTAATGATGTGATGTAGAAAGGTTTTTGTTGTTGATGTGATTGTTGTGACGGCGCTTTCCTGTCTGTGATGTTCTATAAATTTTGCCGCTGCCCCGTTGATGCAAATTGAACTGAACGTCACTTTTGTTCTGACAATTTTCTTCGGCGTTGTGCTTTTTGCATTTACTTTTAATGTCTCTCTTGTCTTTATTTCGATCTTTGGTCTGATGTTTATAGTTGCCGATATTTCCGTCATTTCTGAGAGTTGTTGTTGTAATCTTGGTGATAATAGCATTAGCACTATCATTATCAGCAGTATCATTTAAGTTTGTGGTTTGTGTGTTGTTTTTGTAGTTGTTGTGGTTGCTGTGGCTGTTGTAGTTGTGGTTGTTATGCTTGTTGTTGTTATTGATCGTCACCTTATAATTTGTTGTTTTGATGATTCTTCTTGAGTGAGTTGCATGGTTGTTGTTGATTCTACTATTGTTGTTGATGCTGTTGTTGTTGTTGCTGTCAATGTTTGATTTTTTATTGGTTTTGAACTGTTGCGTTATATTTTTGTTGTTGTTCGATTTGCGTGCTTGGTGTTTGTGTTTGTTGAGGTAGTTGTTGTGAATGTTGTTATCGTTATTTATAATGTGATTGACGCGTTTGTTGAGGTTGTTGTTGCTGATGTTTTTGTTGTTACGGATGTTTTTTTCATTTCTTCTGCTGTTGTCGTGAATATGTTTGATGATTTCTTCACTGTTCGTACGATGAAGTTGAGTGTTGATTATCAAACGCGGGTACTTACTTGATAGTATGTAGTTCGCTTTTTTGTTGTCAATGCCACTATTTTGGCTAATGTGCTGGTTAATTTTTTTGCGATTGTTAATGTTATTAGTGTTGTCGACTTCATTTATAATGTAGTTTCTGTTGTTGATGTTATTCTGGTGGAAGATGGCGTTAATGTGATTGTTTTTGTTGTTATTAGTGTTTACTCCATTTATAACGTTGTTGATGTTGTTGTTGATGATGTTGTTGTTAGTCATAGCATTATCATTATTATTATTATTATTATTATTATTATTATTATTATTATTATTATTATTGGTGTTGCTATATACAGAGCGTTTGTTGTTCAATTTCTTCTCAACACAGACAGCAGGATTGTGACATCGTCGTTGGCGATGATAATGATGATGGTGGTGCTGATATCGATGACGTTGGTCAGGAAGTTGTTGTTGATGATGATGATGATGATTAGATTTTAATTTTTCAAGATGATGATGATGATGATGATTAGATTTGCGCTTTAAAAATGAGTTTTTCGTTAATAAAATTTCATCGATATTTTCACTGTTGAGGTTTCTACTTTTGTCGAATTCTAAATAATTGATGACGTCATCTTTGACGTTATTTTCCTCCTCATCAACCCACTGGCCGTCAGTGACAACCCTCGTGTGAGGGTTTGCCATTACGATGAGGTGGCCGTCAGACAAGAGGGTCCACGTAGATGAGTTGCTGGTCACCTGAATGCCATCCTTGTACCATGCCTTTAAAACTGGACTGCTGCTATCATCCGTAAGACATGACATAGTGATGAACATTCGAGATGGTGATGAGGATGTTGAAGATGATGACGACGATGATGATGATGGTGATGATGAGGACGGTGATGGTGAGGATGTTAATAATGGTGATGATAGAGGCTGTAGCAAGCGTGAGTTAAATGAAGAGACCAACAAAAATGATGATGATGATGACGACGACGGAGATGAAAACAGTCCTGGCGCATGTGCTGAAGTTGAAACAAGCGATAAATTTGATGGAGATGTAGATGATGAAGATGGTGATGATGATGATGGTAAAATTGTTGTTGTTGATAATGATGATGATGGTGATGACGAAGTAAGAAACGATGGTGAAGAAATAGTTTGCTGTTGGTTCCACTGGTTTTTGAAATGGTGAAAAACATGATTTGTTTTGTTTGGACGGGGAGGAGGAAGTGGAGAGCCTGTTGAAAAAATCATCATTCGTTCATGTCTTCAACTTAGATCATTTATTCATTTATCACTTTAACATTCATATAGACATATATATTTCTACATTTATATATACATTTAAACCAATAAACATTTATACAACGTTGATAGTACATTTTATGTGTATAATATTTGAATTAAATCAATCAAATCAATAAATAATTACCGTAAAGTTTAACTATCAAATCATTTATATATCTTATGCAAAACTAAAATGGACATAAAATGGCACTGCTTTTAGTTTCTTTTTCTGGAAAACAAAATACAGAAAAAAAACATTTTGCAAAATGTTTGGTTGCCAAAAAGAAATAATCTCTCTGCCACTGAACGTTCGCTCAATTTTGTTGACCACCCGCCACAAGAAGACAATTGCTTCTCATGTAGTCTTCTTGGCTGCGGTTGGCTGGCGAGCTGGATTGCTAGTTATTTGGCTGGTTGGTTGGATGGTTAGTTGGCTGACTGGATTGCTGGTAATTTGGTTGGATGGTTAGTTGGATGGTTGGTTGACTGGATGGTTGGTTGGTTGGAAAAATTGTTGGTTATTTAGTTGGTTGGTTGGTCATTTGTCCAAGTTTTTATACTGCGGATGTGTGCACCTAAGTGTGTGTGTTGTAAGTGTTGCGTGGAGTGATTGTCATTACTTTATGTTAATGTGCAGTGTTGCGCTAATTCTTAAATGGATGTTTTTTTTGTGGGTTAAGAATGTTTTTGTAACGAGTGGTTATTTTGTTGATGCGGTTTTTAGTTGGTGCATATTTATTGAAGATAATTTCTGTCCATTTTTAACATTCGAATTTCATCTCATTGTGAGTTTCACGGTAAATATTGGTTGAAATAACACATCGTTACTGAGATTTCTTATTATGAACTGTGATTTGTGTGCTTATTTTCAGTTTTGTGGTCGTCATTTTGTTATTTGTAAAAAAAGTTTGAAGATTACATTATGCTTCTAATTATTTTTTTTTTCAAGCTTCACGAATACAAATGAACGTCGTTTGTGATGATGTCATTATTATTACATACATACATACATACATACATACATACATACATACATACATACATACATACATACATACATACATACATACATACATACATACATACATACATACATACATACATACATACATACATACATACATACATGCATGTATGCATGCATGCATACATACATACATACATACATACATACATACATACATACATACATACATACATATATACATACGTAAAAACACACAAGCAAACGTACCTTTTAGTATAAAACCAAACAAAAACAAGCACGCGAGCATGCAAACGTACAAAAGACAGCCATACGAACATACACAAACAGCAGGCATACATACAAACAAGAGAATGCAAGAGAAAAACAAACACTACACCGTGTGACATAGGAACATACTCTGCGTAACACAGACAAACAAACAAACAAATACACAGCGTACGCACACACACAGAGTGGTAGATTATAAAAGAAGGCAATGCTTAGCAGGGCGTGTAATGCCACGTCAACGTAATATTGCGGCTCCTTCTTGCTCCGAATAACAACGAGGTGCTTTCTACTAACTCATCTTGCTGCTCTTCTCGTTCTTGTCGTCGTTGTTGCTGACGTTGTTGTTGCTGATGTTGTTGTCGCTAATGTTGTTGTTGCTGATGTTGTTGTTGCTGATGTTGTTGTCGCTAATGTTGTTGTTGCTGATGTTGTTGTTGCTGATGTTGTTGTTGCTGATGTTGTTTTAGTAGATATTTTTGATACTGTTGTTAGTGTTGCAGCTGTTGTTTTCGACAATGTTTAGTTGTTTTCGCGAATGTTTCTTGCTGTTCATGACAAACTTAACTTAATTGCAAAAAATATGTTTTTTTGTGTGATCAATTTGTTGAGTTAATGAACACAAGTCTTGATGTGTTTTTATTTGTGTTCAATAATAGAAAAAGCATTCAAGCATTCAAGTTTCTATGTTAGGATTTTTAAAGCCAAAAATATCACTTTTTTTGAAGATTTAGAACTTGAAAAAATTGTTTCTCATTCAAAATCAAGGTTTCAATGAAAGTACAAGTTGGTCAACAACATCAAATAAAAATAAATTTTAGATGAAAAATATACATCTCCGTGTCTAACTACAAATTTTAAAAATCCACACAAAATCATCCGATAGATCAATGGCTGCATATCTTACGGGCAAGTGCAATGTGTGGGTGTTTGTGTGTGTGTTTGTGTGTGGGTGTGTGTGTGTGTGCGTGTGTGTGTGTGTGTCGGGAAGAATATCGCACCGTGTAGGCCACACTCATTTTGTTACTGTTAGGGACGGTGGCCAGACATTATTTATAGCAACTTTTTATGTTAACTCGGTACAAAATATACTTCATGTTTATTCACTTTCAAAGTTCTTTCATGTTGTAATGTGCTTGCTCTTTTTCTCTCTCTCCTCTCTCTCTATCTATCTCTGTTTCTACTTTCTTGAGTGTGTATATGTGTATGTATTGTGATGAAGTTAATGTAGAATATATTAAGTTACATATACAAAAAGTTATTTACATAAAAGAATGTCACACATCTTTTCGACCAGTCTGTTCATATGTGATGTATTTTTATGGGATGATTTAATCAACAAACTTCGTTACCGACACAGATTTTGTTGTTGTTGTCGTTTAATCTGTTGTTGTTATTCTAATTGGATGTTTTTTGGCAATCTAGATAAATTTTCAGAAAAAAATAAATTGACTTAAATTTAATACAGATAATGTTTGTTTTTGGTTTTTCTGAAACAATTTCTTTTTCTTATTCTTCTTATTAGTTTCTCCTCAGTATTATTGGACTTTTTATAAATTTAATTTTTCATATATTGTTGAATTTTTATTTTATTATAACAGCCGAAATAAATATTAATATAAAGTTGCATCGTTAATTGCAATGAAATGTCTATTCTTTGCCAGTTTCAAGTATGACGCAACCATAACATTATAAAAAAATGTTTACACGTTATGAAAACCTTGACGTCATTTTCATGTTTACTTGTTATCAGTCATTTAGTCACTCTCATCACCACCATTTATTATCATCAATAGTGACGCCATTTTCGTCTGTGTCATCGTTATTATCATCGTTGTACTCATCATAATCAATTTTGGCGTCATAGCAAGTCGGTAAGTTTATTAATGTTTAAATTAATGAATATCGTAAAATTTTATCGCTCAGGCAATCAAAAATAGCAAAACAACAACAGCAATAACAACAACAATAACAACAACGACAACAACAAAACAAACTAAAATGGATAAGAAAATAAAAATTAGGGATGCACCGAAGTTCTGCCCCGGCCCCGGCTCCGGCCAATATCCGGCTTTTTTTTCAAATCCGGCCCCGGCCGGATTTGGTGGCCGGATTTAGGGCCGGATTTAGGGCCGGATTTAAGCGTCTATCGACATTTAAAAATATTATAAATAGAAAAAAAAATTTCATTGAATTCAATTAATTTTATGTCAATAAGTTAAAAGCTAAGCATACATGACACATAATAACAACATCACAAATTGTGAAATGAGCTGGACAATTTTCTTTGTGCTATAACATGGGTTATGCATAAATTATAAGCTGATCTTTGTGTAAAAGAACTTGTGCACGTGTTTATACTATATAGTTGTATATGACGGATCATAAAGCTACATAATATATATATATATATATATATATATTTTTTTTTTTTTATTTTATTTTATTTTCAATAAGGGAACCAAATAAGTTTAAATGAAAAAACTTGTGGAGAGGCCACCCTAAGTACTTTACTTGAGATATATATGCAATTTAAAACAGAACAGAAAATATACAAATTAAATTTCAATGCATGCAAAAATCGATAAATATAGTCAGTAGGATTAACACTCGAAAAACAAAGTTAATATCTGAACATATAAGTATATACAGATATTACTAATGAATCTACAATCAAAAACAGAAAGTAGATTGGCAATGTGAGATAATTTATAGTATTTGATACAATAATTAAAAGTATGGATTGATTGAA